AAAAAAAAAACTATTTACATGCTTTATTTTATTTCTCCAGGAAGTTCCGGAAGGCCTCATCTCTATCTTGAATTTTCTCATCTTGTTGGAGGCTTATTTCTTTAGTTTTTATCTTTCAGTGTCATATAGAATCACAATTTAGATCTGTCAGGGCCTTTAAAGATCACGTGTTACCATTGTCTCCTTTTACAGGTGATGGTGATGAACCTTAGAATTGTTGCATGGCTTGTCTGAGAACAGACAGCTGTTTAGTAACACTAATTTTAAAGTTGACTGCAATATGCAGTTTGTTTGACAAAAATGCTAATATATATCCCCTTAAAGTAGTACAAGGTGGGTGCGGGGTGCATCAAAAAATTAGTGGACAAGTGGAATTAAAAGGTAATGGAAACTGTCCATGAACTTTTTGAAGCCTCCTTGCATACTACCCCCACCACTGTGGCAATGGCATAGCTAGCTGTTTCTCTACTCTGACCTCCTGGGTCTGAGTGGCATGCCAGCTCAGCCAAGACTGCCCACAGGCTGCACGCACTTCCCACGCCTCTGTAAGGCTCCAAGTCATTCTACAAGAGAAGAAAACAAGTAACCACGGACCTGTCCAGAAAGCCAAAGATTCTTTCACTGTCATATCAGGGAAAATCTAAACATGTTAAATGAGTCTTCTCTAGCACACAGAGAGAGAAGGAACAAAAAATACATAAGATCTTTTTTAAAGAAAAGTTAAAATAAAATTCTTCACACAAGGACTTACTTTTATTTTTTTAATTAAATAATCATTTTATTAGGGGCTCATACAACTCATCACAATCCGTACATACGTCATTAGTACATATGTTGACTTCATCATTCTCAGAACACCCGCTTTCCACCCAAGCCCTTGGTGTCAGCTCGTAAGGACTTACTTTTAATGGGACAAGTAATGGCTTCTTCCTAGTAAATGTCAAATCTAAAAGGAAACAAGTCCTTGCTTTAAAAATATAGGCTTATTTTAATATAGACTTATTTTGTGAGTTTTAACACTTGTACCGTTTCAATGATGGTTGCTAGACATTGCCTTAAATGAGTGGGGCGCATTTCTAATCATGGAAAGTTAGGCATTGTCAGAGTACAGGAGCTGGGAGTTGGGGTCAGGAAGCCACATGGGCAACCCTAATTTTTCTGACACTGGAGGAGGATTTCAATATTAAGTTTTCTAAAGGTGAACTTTCCTTTGGTCCCCTCTTAAGTCCTTGCAAGACGGACAGTGATGGACGTGGTTAATTTCTCAGGATAGCAAAGGGAACAGTCCTACTCCTGGGATTGTTTTCAGAAGCAGCAACCACACCAGAAGGGCCGGCCGGAAGGGGTGGCTGCATTAGCAGCTCTAGTGCCCGAGAGGAGCGAGCTTGGGTGTAAAGGATGCAGAATTCGAGGCTCAGCTCTGTCACTCTGTGTCAATTAAGGTTTGAATAGGTCACTCAGGCCACTACACACACTGTTGAGGATGCACTCGGGGCAAGAATGGAAGCCAGAGCCCTGCATGAAGGAGCCCAGATGCTAATGGCTTGGAGTAAGCTGGGGGGGCAGGGAGAGGCTGGGGGAGTCTACATGTCTCTCAGTGCTTGAGGCCACAGCTCCTTAAGGCCCTTTGTTTTGTCTTCTTCAACATATAGATGGGGTGGCAAGTGCACACCAACCCAGCTGTGGAATTAGGACTGGTCCAGGGTGAGCAGGCAGAGGCCCCTGGAGCTTTACTGCTCAATTCTGCTGCTCAGTTATTAAATTGTCTCACCAAGGAGTTCTCCCAGGTGCCACAGAGGTGGGGACTGCTGGGATAAATCTAACTACAGCAGGGAATGTCACAGAGGAACCAAGGGCGTGCTCTGCCCTTTCCACATTCAAGGGTGACCCTGCCTCTGTAGTTTTAGCATACAACATTAACCACGTTAAACAAAGAGCCCTGGTGGCTTACGGAGTTACAAGTTGAGCTGCTAACTGCAAGGTCAGCAGTTCAAAACCACCAGACACTGTGGGGGAAAGATGAGGCTCACAGTCTTGGAAACGCACAGGGCAGGTCGACTCTGCCCTGTGGAGTCACTGTGCATCAGCATCGACTCAATGCCAGTGAGTTTGGTTTTGTCTCACTGTCCGTATATGTCCTTTAACAGAACTTTACTGTTACGCGTCTGATAGCAGAAACCTGTAGGCTTTCAGCACATCGTACCTAATGTCAATCAAAGCCCTACGCCTTGGTCTCTAGAAGTTTTAAGTTTCTACAATTGTGGCTTAGTGTGGGTTATGTTTCCGGATGATAACCCAAAGTCAGCAATTTTTACCCACCAGCAGCTTCATGGAAGAAAGCTTAGACTGACTGCTCCATATTTATGGAGCATATTTACGGCCTCGGAAACCCAAAGAAGCAGTTCTCCCCCGTCCTAAAAGGGTCACTGAGAGTCAGAGTCAGCTTGGTAGCGGTGGATAGGTTAACGGTACCATAACAATGAGAAAGAAGGGAGAAGGATTCTTTTGTAGAATTAGAAAATATCATCCTCTCATGGCACTGTGCATAGAATACTAGACTAGAACGGAGGTCAAGGTAGTAATCATTGCCCTCCCACCCTCCAGCCATCGTGTGCAGATCAGTAGCTCTCTGATATTTATTGCGGGCTCACTGTGTGCCACTCATTGGTCAGAGAGCTGGAGATAAAAAGCATGAGGGGAGAGACACAGACTCTAGGGAAGCCCTTGGGTTTTGAGAGGAAGGAGGAAAGTAGACATTCATCAGCTGATCACATCCAGGATTGTTGAGTTACCAAGTAACAAATACAGTGGAGAGATGTGAGTTAGGAGCCTATTAGAGCTCCAATTCTCCTACCTATAAAACGGCAATAAACATCTGTTTCAAAACTTGGGATGATCAGATAGTATATTTACATATAAGTCAATAAAACATTACTAAAATGTTGGTGTCATTTCTACACGTTTTTGACATTCAGTTACTTTTAAGTTATCCTTATGTAAACACAGGACTAGACAACTCATGACATAAAATATTTGGTTATGCAAATGATACCTAAATTCTGTTACTTTTGACTAATGTAAAAAGCAAGAAGTAGAAAACTGTATAACTTAAGAAGAACTAATTTCAGTTTTGGCACCAAGAATTGGATCCTTGGATAATACAAGAGGCTTAAAAAAGTTCATGGGAAAAATTTCATTATCTTTTAATTCCATTTTCCTTGAGCCTCTTGAAGCCCACTCATAAGAATTTGAGGACAGGGTCAAGTCAAATTCTGAAAAGTGTCTATTCAACCCTTGAATAGAGCTCAATCAGAAACTTGAATGGGAGATTTGGTTTGTGTCCAAATTCTCGTGTTGATATTTTCATTTCTTTTTCTCTTGGGCAGCTCATTCTCTCCAGTTGGGGAGGAGGCTACAATCTGCAGTGCCAAGATCTCACCAGTGCAGGGGAAGCTGATGTCCGGGTGAGCCGTTAGCTGCAAATGGATCCCTGATTCTCACTGAGACGAAAAAAGGCTTTCTCCTTCCTTCCAGCTGGGAACAAGGGGCTGGGATTAGATAAGAAATACCCATCTGTGTGGGACCGGCTGCGTAAACTGTGGCACCTCACACACAAAGGATGCCTCTAGAGAGGAGAATGAGGACGAGCTCCACAGAGATTTAGAATTGTTTCAAGTGACTTTCTAACAGAATTTGGACTGGACACCCCTAGTGGATGATATCCAAACAGCTTTCAGTAATTTTTTTGCTGTTGTTAATAAAAGCAGGTGTGGTGGCACTGTGAGTTGGGCATTGGGCTTCTGACCACACAGCTGGTGGTTCAATCCCACCAGCTCCTCTGTGGAAGAAAGATGAGCCCGTCTGCTCCCATGAAAATTTCCCGTCTGGGAAACCCTGGATGGCGTTGATATGAGTTGGAATTTACTTGCTGGTAGTGGGTTTGGTTATTTTGGTGTTTATTGTTACTAATATGTGGGTCTTACTGTTTGAGACTTATTAAGACATGATAGGGCAGAGTTAAGTATATGAATGGCCTTCAAAAAGTTTATTGAAAAATTCCATTATCATTTAATTCCATTGTTCCACAAAACCTCTTGAAGTTGTTCTTGTGCATTGGGTGAAGGTATACAGAGCAGACCATCAATTTTACACTCAACAATTCATACATATTTGTTTCATTTCACTGACTACAGTCCCTCCGTGTAACCCATTTACCCCATCTCCTCTCTGCGCCCCGTTTGCATTCCTCCTCCTTTCTACACCTTGCGATACTGTGTGTGTCCTGGGGTCGCACGGTTGATGACTCTCTGGTGTGCCTGTGCCCCTCTGTTATCCTTCCCCTTTGGCTGACACTGGGGCTGAGTTCATTTCCAGATCCGAAGAGTGGCTAAGGACCAGGTTCTCGAGGATTCACCAATCTCTGGGTAACCAGTAAGCTCTGTCTTTGTTTGACTTGGGGTCTGTTCCACTTTTCTCCCACTCTGCCCAGGGCCTTCCAATCTGATCCCCTTCCAAGCAGTTGGCAACTGGGCACCCTTTAAGTCTTCTGGTCTCAGTGTTGTTTCCACTAACTTTTAAGCCCCCTTATGTTGTAATATTAAGACCACTTGGAATTAATGCTTAAAGCACAGAAGAAAAACTATACCAATTAAAAATAATGAAGTTAATGCTAAAAGCCAGTGATCCAAAATTCAAATAAGAAATACTAGAATTAACTTTATTCTTTCTTAACAAAACAAAATTCCAAATCTACTACCACCGAATGGATTCTAACTCAAGCGACCCTATACGACAGAGCAGGGCTATCCCAAGGTTTCCAAGCCTTTAATCTTTACAGAAGAGACTGCCCCATCTTTCTTAACTCAAAGTGGCTGCTGTGCTTGAACCCCTGACCTTTTGGTTAGCAGCTGAGCACTTTAACCACCTCACCACCAGGACCCCTGAATTTAACAGCTAAATTATAGACAATATGGAAGAGAAACAACTTAAATGATGCCGTAAAGAACCAGTTATCCAAATCATCATACTCAAAATTCTATGAAACTGCAGTTGTTAAAGTTTATCTGTTACGGAAGAAGGAGAGAGCAAGGAGAGGGGACTCCTATTGAGTAAAAGAGGCTTATGACTCTGAACTTTGTAACATATATTTCACCAAAACAAAATTAAAAAGACTTCAATAAACAAATGAACGGTGGGCCTTGTTTGGATCCTTATTTGAACAGGTCAATTATAAAAGACATTCCCTGGTGCCCACTGCCCCTCCTTCCAACCCTCCCACCCCACCCCTCCAGCCAGGCTCCTAGCCCCTTCCTTCCCCCGTACATACTTTTAAAAACGTTTTTTCTTAGCTAATGAAATATCAAAGTAAAAACAAACAAACAAATAAATAAAAGACATTTCCAAGGTAGTTGGGGAAATTTGAATGTGGCCTGGGTAATTAGGTATTAATAAATCACTAACTTTATTAAGCAAGATGATGACATCTTAGGGAACGAAAAACAAACAGAAAATGTCTCCCTCTGTGTTAGGAATAGTTGCATGTGAAATGCAATCAATAGTACAAAATGAGTTTGCCTACCAGGCACCCTGTTTATCCTTTTCTCTGGAGCTTCACCTCACGAGTTCCTTTCCTCTCTCAAGCTGAATCAACTACCCTGGTAGTGTAATGGAGTTAGTGGCTGGCTACTAACCACAAGATCAGTGGTTCAAACCCACCAGCTGCTTCATAGGCTAAAGATGGGGCTCTCTGCTTTTGTAAGGATTTGCAGTCTCAGAAACCCAAAGGCACAGTTCTGCTGTGTTGAACGGGGCCTTTTTTAGTTAGAATTGTCTCTAGGGAAGTGGCCTGGGGGAGTCTGCCAGACATGAAATGGGAAAGGAGTGTTGGATACAGAGAGCAATGGGTCGGTGCATGATGAAGCACAAACAGGTTGTCCTGGTGGTGTGTGTGGAAAATGCTGGGGCAGCCATCAGCAAGCACCAGAGCGCGGCCTGCCTTCCACAAGCACCATGCCTGTTCTGTATGTGCAGAAGGCTAAGCTGAGCAGAGGCCTCACCTTCCTTCCAGCAGGGTAGATGGTTGTGGGTAAGGAGGCTGGCGGCCAAGGTGGCAGGCGGGAGGCTTCCAGGAGTCTGGGAGCGAGTGCGTCTCAAGCAAGGCACAGGTGGCATTCGGATGGCTGAGGGACGGGACCCTTGGAACATCTTTATTTATCAACTTTTTTTTTCCTTTTAAAAATTCTTACAGGTAGCCAAAGTGTTATGGTGGTACTACTTCTCCAAATTAATAGAGTTCCTGGACACAATTTTCTTTGTTTTGCGGAAAAAAACCAGTCAGATTACTTTTCTCCACGTGTATCACCATGCCTCTATGTTCAACATCTGGTGGTGCGTTCTGAACTGGATACCCTGTGGGCAAAGTAAGTGATCCTGTCACTTTTTAGTCTCCTATGGGCGACCCTGTGGGGAGCGTGAGGGAGCGAGCGGAGGGACGCCCTGGCAGGGCCCACAGTGTAGGGCCTGCTGCCAGGGGGCTGGTTTCCAGCCTTTGCTACTGGCCAAACCTGAGAACACATGAAATGGTTAAAATACTTTCTTTTCCTCGTGGCAGATGGTCAGATGCTGAGAACACAGGCCCCCACAGAGTGTCCCCAGGCCAGTAATTGTGTGCTGCTGTGGAAAGATGGACTCTGCTTCCACAGTCACCACATCACTGGCCTCAGATTTGGGGGCCTCCCATCTTTAGGGCCTCTGAAAATTTTGATTTTGAAAAATTGAGGTTACACCTCTCTGTGATCCATTACAGCAGTGGCTTTCTTTTTATTATTTATTTTTAAGAGAACTCTAAAAGAAATACATTGCATATCACAACCCATGTGCCTCTGTTTGTATGAAACAATTAAGGAATATACTTTCCTATATAACAAAACTTCTGCACATCAAGATGTCTTAAAAATAGGAGACAAGGAAGAGCTTCAGGAATATTTGATATGTTTGTCAATATTTATAAACTGTCAAGTTATTTTTTCATAAGGACCTCTTACACATCAGTTAAGTGACTGGTCAAAAGCCAGGAAAATGTTTCTATAGAGAGTAAATTATAGAGAAGTACTCTAAATGATGAATAAACATGTAATTGTCAAGTAAATGTAATTTAAAACATGACCCCCAAGAAATGTTCCTAAAACAGTATTATTTGCTGCTGCTGTTTTTTTGTTTTGTTTATTGGTTAATTCTGTTTCATTTGTTTAAAAAACTGACGACAACATTCACCACATTATATTCCACAGTGCACTAATTGTTACAACTGGAGTGTGAGTTACACTAAACCAGGGAGAGCAATTCTTTGTAATGTGTCCAGTAATTTTAGAATATTCTGAATTTAGAAGAATCTAAACAGCCATGGCAGGTCAAATTGCAGGGAGTCTCTTGTAGGGATGAAGCGATAAGAAAGAAAGGAGATGTGGATGTCAGTGACTGCAGGCACACTCAGAACCAGTGTGAAGGGAAATGGGCAGAAAGAGACACTTTACACCCCCTAAGCTGTGACGAAATCCCGTTTCCGGAGTTCACTTATTAAGGAAGACTATCTGCAATAATCCATAGCAAAGGAAAACACATAAGTACGTTTTTATGTCAATAGCTACAGATCATTAAATGTCTGAAAATTAATTTTGTTTTGTTGTACTGCATTTGGTGTCACTTTTTTTTAAAATCATTTTACTGGGGGCTCATACAACTCTTATCAGAATCCATACATAGATACATCGGAAATTTTTTAGACTAAAAGTAATATATCCAAGATAGCATGGCTAATGAGTGTTCTAACTCCACACTCTCCTCTGCCATACGAGACAGCCATACTGCCCAGGCTAACATTTGGTGCCATCCCTGAGCCAGGCTGTTCCAAGAACTACACAGTATATTGATTTCATCCTCACAACACTGAGTTCTCTACTTCCAACAAATAGCACCTCTCTCACAGCTCACCACGCTGTCACTTGACCCAACAAGGAACAAAGCTCTTGTTCGAGCAGCCCTCTGGCCCCATTCACTCACAATGGCAGGAGGGATGGAACTCTTTTCCGGAGGATGGATGGCAAGAACAGGGGAAGCCCAGCTTGGCCCAGCAAGTATCCTAAAATTAGCTGTTCGATCTCTTCTTCCGAAAATCGTGAAATGGACCGGCCACTGGGAAGGCCTCACTGGCCAGCTCGCCTCAGGCCAGCTTCCCCCCGTCTTTCTGGGCCTTCTTGCTTGTCCATCTGCTCTCCCTCTGCCCAGCATCTTCTGGCCCCTAGGGCCCTTGTAGGTAGAATGACTTAATTAGGAGGAATAACATGCTTTCTCGCTAGCCCCCTGTTCAGCCAAGGACTGAAGGATGGATATCTTTACAGTCAGAATCAGTAACAGCTCTGTTAAAGAAGCCACTCTCACCCCGAGAGAATTACCCACCATCTTTAATCATTTGTGTGCCTCCTTTCTCTGATTAGCTGAGAGTCAAACACAGCTAAAGAGTGCCAACCTGTTTGGTTGGCATTCTGACTGAACAGGTTGGCACTGTGACTGAAAACTATCGCCCATTTCGCCCTTCCATCTGGGGGTTTTTGCCAAATCTGATCGTAGGGGCACAGTCTTCGAGGGATGTCTCCGTGTGGCTTTTGTGATGTTTGTTCATTCCTGTTCTGCCTCACTGCACAGGGAGAACCTCATTTGGCAAAGAAAAATTAATAGTCTCACTTTCTAGAGAACTAGTAATTTTCATAACTGTATTTTTATAGGTTTCTTTGGACCAACGCTGAACAGTTTTATCCACATTCTTATGTACTCCTACTATGGGCTTTCTGTGTTTCCATCTATGCATAAGTACCTTTGGTGGAAGAAGTACCTCACACAGGCTCAACTGGTATGTTAACCTTTCTGTTAACTCTTCATGTGGACACATCTGAACATGCGCTAGGGTGGGGGAGGAGAGCAAAATCAGTCTTCTGAGGAATCAGAATTTTCGTCTGTGTAGTGAAGCTGCCTGTTTTTGTTTTTCCTTTTCCTAAAGTGGTCTTTTAAAAATCTCACTGTTAAAATGCTCTTTGTGTATCCACTTTGGTTATTTTTAGAAAATGCCTTATTTTGAAATGTTGAGGAATCCTTTTTAAACTGTTTTTATCTATTTAAATCTTGTTCATCTAAGTACGGGTAACTGCCACTTTCCCGTCAGAACATTAATAATGAGAAACCCTATGAAATGTTGTAGTGCAAAGCAGTTAATGTCTGGTTAAAATGAAAAGGGACAAGCTTTTATTGAGGCAAGGCAATTTGCAACTTGAATATCAGAAGGACCAGAAGATTCTAAACGAAATGACCCAAGGAGAGAAAAGTTCAGGGAATTCATATAAGAAAATACAAAAAAATTCCATAAAAACCAGTAATTGGTTGATATTTAGGTAATGGTTACAAAATTGGATGAGTACTTCTGACTGGTAGGGGATTGCGTACACTTCTAAACTTGAGTTTGTTGTCTTTTTTAATTGTGGTGTAGATGAAAGTGTACAGAGCAAGAGTTTTTCCACTGAACAATTTAGTTACAAAGTAATCATTAACTTGAGTACATCTGGCCAGTGAGCCCCTTCTGCAGGACTACGGGAAGGACAGGCATAATTTTGAGTATCTTGAGTAAGTGCTCGCCCTGAGAATTATTGTGGACAGTTTTCCTGAACATTGCGTATTCAGGGTCAAAATCACATTGTTCTCTGAACTTGTTTACAAGTCATTTTCTCAGGATGCGGGGTGAGGTACAGGAAACGCAGGCTACATCCTCTATCCAGAAGTTACTTGTTTCAGACCTTAACATAACCGCCATCTCATGTGGCCAGACCTGTCAATTTGGGGTACTCTTACTTAATTATTCACTCACTGCCACGGAGTCCCTGCTGATGCATAGCAACTCCCTGTGGATATGAGACGGAAACTGTTTACAAACGTAGAAAAGCCCAGTCTTTCTCCCTTGGAGCTGCCTGATGGTTTTGAACTGGCAAACCTGAGTATCACAGTCCATCGCCTTACCACTATACCAACCAGGGCTCTTACTCTTACTCAATACTCACTAGTAAAATGTCAAGTAAGTAGCATAGAACCGTAGGCGACCGTCAATGTTTCCTTATTGGTTTTATTCGTGCCAAATGTAGGGAGTACGGGTTGTTGATGTCTAAATTGTTTTAAGAGTTCACAGTGGCTATGTGACTCTGAGCTCCTGGTCCGAGGGTCCCTTCCCACTAACGCCTTCCGCCACCCGCACAGGTCCAGTTTGTGCTCACCATCACGCACACCATGAGTGCCGTCGTCAAGCCCTGCGGCTTCCCCTTTGGGTGTCTCATCTTCCAGTCTTCCTACATGCTTACCTTAGTCATTCTGTTCCTGAATTTCTATGTCCAGGTGAGTCAGGGTAAATTTCTTTCTTCAAACCCAAGTGAGTGTGTGCTTTTTACATGCTATCTTTAATGTTACTGATTAAAAAATTGAGGTTTTCAAATGAAGGCTGAACATGACAGTGGGACAAGAGAAAAGTAAAAGGAAATAGCGGAAAGAACTATGAGGCAAAGGGCATTTATAGAGATCTAAACACAGGCATGGACATATGTAAATATATTTTTATATGATGATGGAGAAATAGATCTATGTACATACATTTATAGGTTTAGTATTAAGGCAGCAGATGGACGGTGGGCCTCCACTCAAGTACTCCCTCAACACAAGAACACTTTGTTCTAATAATCTGGCACTCTGAGGTGCTCACCTTCCCGACACAATCACTGAAGACAAAGCGGGTGCATAATCAAATGTGGTGAAGAAAGCTGATGGTGCCCAGCTATCAAAAGATATAGCATCTGGGGGTCTTAAAGGCTTGAAGATAAGCAAGCGGCCATCTAGCTGAGAAACAGCAAAGCCACATGGAAGAAGCACACCAGCCTGTGTGACCACGAGGTGTCGATAGGATCAGGTATCAGACATCAAAGACCCAGAGCAAAAAAATCATAATGTGAATGAGGGGGCGGGGGAGTGGAGGCCCAAAGCCCATCTGTAAGCAAGTGGACATTCCTTTACAGAAGGGTCATGGGGAGAAGACGGGCCAGTCAGTGGAGTGTAGCACTGATGAGACATACAACTTTCCTCTGGCTCTTTAATGCTTCCTCACACCCACTATCATGACCCTAATTCTACCTTACAAATCTGGCTAGACCAGAGCATGCACATGGGTACAGATAAGAGCTGGAAACACAGAGAAAACAGGACAGATAAACTCCTCAGGACCAATATTGAGAGTAGCCATACCAGTAGGAGAAGGGGAAGGCGGGGGCAGAAAGGGATACCGATCACAATGATCTCCCTATAACCCTCTCCCAGGGGGATGGACAACAGGCAAAAGGGTGTAAAGGGAGACATCGGACAGTGCAAGACATGAAAAAATAATTTATAAACTATCAAGGGTTCATGAGGGAGGGAGGAAGAAAGGGGAAAAAATGAGGAGCTGATACCAAGGGCTCAAATAGGAAGAAAATGCTCTGTAAACGATGATGGCAACATATGTACAAATGTGCTTGACACAATGAATGGATGTATGGATTGTGATAAGACTTTTACGAGCCAATAAAATTATTTTTTTTAAATAGCAAAAAATGAATTAAAATGTGAGGTTGTGTTAGGTGCGCTGAGTCAGCTCTGGCTCCTGGCCATCAGGGGCCTGCCCAGGCCTGCACCACCTTTGCTTGAAATACGCAGGCGGCGGAGGTGCTCGCGGTAAAGGGTGAAACTCGTGTTTCACTTTTCCCCCGCAGCCCCCTCAAAGGCTAACCGCCACCGTTAATATTCAGTGAGCATTTTACTAAACATGTTCAGTGCTTGCATATAAACACTTCTCAAATGCAAGGATATCGGAGGGTCAAACATATAGTTCTCAATTTCCATGCAACCAAAGTCTAATACCTAAAAGTTAAACCCTGTGTATAGTAAGACAGAGCCATGAACTTTATGTAAATGGAGACAAACATGGGCTTCATTAATTTGAGGAAACTCTTATTCCCATAGTAGCAACTGTGTTATGTTGAAAACTCTGCTTATTGGGGGCGTGGGGAGGGGGGCTGCTGTCAGAGAAGCCAGTGTGCAAAAGGCACATTCCCTTATCGAGCCGCATTTTCTTTCAATTGACAATTTCAATGAAGAGAATGTCATGATGCCCTCCTCGAAGGACTCTCTCGTACCAGAACGACGGAAGTGCAGCAGAGCAGGGGCCTCAGGTGGCTGTGGAGTTTAGATTGCTCCCTTGCGTGGGCTGGAGAAAGCGAAACTCTCTTGGGAAAAAAAAAAATTGAGAGTATGAATTCATATTCAAAACAGGACTTTCAACAGTGTATCCAACTGTATTTTCTTCTTCAGACAAACAAGAAATGCTTTCTTGTTGTTCAGATTTCATTTGCTGAAAGTTCACCCTGGTGGTTTTACACCAAGTGCCTTCCGGCTCGGACAGTTCTGGCCTTGGGCTGGCTGGACCCAGTCTTTTGTTAGAGATAAAAGTGACCTTCTAGAGAAATAAGCACTTACAGAAACAAAGCCATGAGAGAAGGTGTTAGGGGAAGCTGCTCATTTGTTCAGAGAGCGTTGTTGGGGGGTTAGTGGTACAACCTAGACCTGCTCTGTAGCCCAGCACGGGAGATAGTGGCACTGGAAGCTTGGATCGCACGTGCCCACCCCAGTGGAATCCTCGAACCCCACCAAACCCAGTGCCCACCCACAGCGAGCCTGGAGATGGTTTCAAAGACTAGAAACCTTTGTGGAAGCAGAGTCCCTTGGCTTTCTTCCTCAGCTAGGTCGGTAGGTTTGACCCAACGACCTTGCAGTTCGCTGCCCAAGGCCTAGTCCACCAGGCTCTGAAATTAGAAATTGAATCTTCAGTTTCCGTCTTGACCTTTGCTTGACACGCTTGTGAAAATTTTTAAACTCTGGAATGAAGCTGAATAGAAAGGAGGCTTCCTGCTCAGCTCCCAGAGTTAATGATTTCAGGAAACCAAACCAATCCAGAACCCACCCACCCCTGGTCCCATCCCCACCCCCACCTCCGTGTTAAAAAATGATCAGAACTCACCAAAATGGAAACATAGTTTATTCTGAGCAGTTACGCTCTGTGCATCTAGGGAGACCATTTTGATTCCAGAAGGAAAAGCCATGAGGAGAAAAGCAGTAAAGAGAAGAAAACCACACTCACTACCACTGAGACCCCCTGACTCAGAGCAGCCCTGTACCGATCAGAGGGAGACACGCAGAAGCAGTGATTGGTGGGACCCTGCCTCCCTGCCCACCCCACTCCCGTAGCAGCTGAGCTCAGTGCTTTGAGGCTCTTGGAACCAGGCTGCTCACAGTCCGGCCTCCACCCACCTGCAGCCTGCGGGGGTTTGGCTTTGTGTTTGAGATTTGAATTGGGAGGTAAAGCTTTCACCCCTTTCTCCCCTGATGAGGCACCTCAGCAGTGCTGGAGAGCAGTTTCTGGGTCAGGCTTTTTAGGGTTAAGATTTGGTTTTATGGGTAAGGAAAGCCTTAAGGTACGACATGTGTTATTAATTTTCCTCTTCAGTACCTTGTAAAATAACAGCAGTTTTCCACTTGATTGTTCTGCTTTAAATTTTTTCTCTTTCCCAAGTATGCAACTAATGCAGACTAATTCAAATGCTGATTGGCTAATACACCAAGGTGCGCCTAAGTAGCCCAGGTGAAAGGAACAACCTGTCGATGGGGTCTGTGGCCACCTCGCTTGTTCTTCTCTGTCAGCGGTGTTTGAAAAACGGTTATATGAGCAAACAGGCAAGATTTCTCATGAGAAAGGCCACCCACTACCCCACAAAATCATGTGTCATTTTACTGTATGCAGCATTAGAGCCATTAATTCTCACTCAAGAATTCTTTTCATTCCCACCCCATAATCTCCACATCCAACAGACATACCGGAAAAAGCCAACGAAGAAAGTGGTGGAGGAGCCATCTGCAGGGCTAGAAACCAAGAACGGCTTTTCCAAGGCCCACGTCCCAGCGACTAATGGAGTGACAACGACGAGCAACAAGAAAGCGCAGTGAAAACGGACCAGCAGGAAATGCCCACGGAAGAGCCTCCCGGATTCGCTTGTTTTAAAGCAAAGACTGAATTGAAAGTTACACATGTTTAGCATAAACTAATTTCGTTTGAGTTTCTAAATCATTTGTACCCAGAATGTATTAATATATTGCTATCAGGTAGCTCGTTAACCGCACGCTTTGGTCAGCACTGAGATGCTGCTGGGCTCCGTGGACCTCAGAGCCGGTACCGCTCCTCCCTCCCCTGCCCCCTCCCTCTCTCCCTGCACATCCTCCCTCTAACACCGCCCCCCCACAAAAAAAAAAAAGTTCTACAACGCCTTAGACACATACAAAGCCAGTAACCTGGAGCTGCTTCTCCCATTCCCCACCCCCGACAGCAAGTCTTTAAAAAGAGTTTTGTTCAGATTTAAAATGTTTACACCCAAATGTTAAATTCTCCTCCCAACGCACAGGTGTGTTCTGATGCACATGGAGCATAGTTGCCAGTGCCTAAAGTCCTCGCTCAGACCGCCTGCTCTTCCAGGAACCAAACGCGGGACCCCGTAACGGAAATAAATAAATAAATGGAAGACAGAAATCTAGCGAACTCACTCTCCTAAGCCAGAGCCTGTCTATCAAATTCCCACGCCACTTCTGTGATTCTCCACTTGGTGCCGTGGTGATGACATTTTTATACTGTAGATTTCATTTTTCTAAAACAACAACAACAAAACGAACCAGAAGCATCCCTGCCAAGCCCTCCCAGCTGGGGCTGTGGGTAGAAACTGCCTGATTTTGCTGTCAGCCGCTGCTGCTTGGTGGTGAGAGCAGCCCGGCAGCTGCCCGTTTCACTGCCCGTTCAGGACTGCATTCTGCTATGCCCCTCCCTCAAAATGAACAGCGATGGGGCGAAAATCAATATGGACGTTCTCAGTTATTTCTCACGAAACCGCTTGTGAGTTCCCAAACACGTGCGCCAGCTCTTTGCAAGTTCTGTAAGTTTGGGGAAACAGGAAGTAAAAGATGATGGAGTACCGAGCCTCCGCGAAAAGTGCCAACTTGGGGCACGCAGCCCGCCCGCTCCCTGCTGATTCAGAGCACGAGTTTATGTGCCCTCCCTCCCCGGCTGTTGGTGATTTGCTGTTATGGGAACAATCTCTTCTGAGATAGGATGATGAACTTCCACCCTGTAAAATGAGACTGGCCAACTTTGACACCGTGATCTCCTTAAGCACCTCCTTTTGCAAGGAAAGTGTCCGGCAGAACATAGATACCGCCCTGCCAGCCCCAGAAAGGGCATTTCCCACCGTCGCAACAGCCTGCAGTCGATTCCCGATGCGTTTCTGCCCTTTCTGGCCTTTTTTTTTTCTGAGCTGCAGCTACGAACTTGTAACTTAATTCACTGAAACCAACCTTCCCAGGATCTTGGCTGCCGTTCTGAAAGGTGACTCACTCTATAGTCTTCAGGAACCCCTTCTCTGGTTCACCCCTTTCTACTGAGCAGACATCTCCCTGTCTGATGCCCACTTACTCCTCTACGTCTTCTTCTTATCCAGTTTCCTAAAATTGGCTGGCTTACCACTTCCATTTGGTGGGTCACGTTGGTACTGCAGTCGGTGTGCTCTGCTCTGCCAGCAGTTCTTGGGCAAACAAGGGCTCCCCTCAGTCTGGGCACGTTGCAGGTTGGGCTATGGGAGAGAGAACCTTGGAGGACCTAGACACTAGTTCCCTTTGAGGTCCCGGGCTAAAGCACATGTATCTCCAAAGTGCATTCCAAGTGAAAACGAGATTTAAGAGAGGAGACAGACATCACTGGTCATTCACATTACTCTGAGCCGCCACAAGGCCCTAAAGTTCCCCCACTCAGCACTGGACCTGCCCTTTCAGGGGCTTGGTGTCTATTTAACGAGGAGGGAAGATCAACGTTGGAAGATGACAACACGCCTAAGAGCCATAAAGCAAGGCAGCTGGAATCCTCTGGGATCAAAGCGAAAATGGGGGCAGTTGATCCCTTCAACTTAATGCCCGAGGTGGAGTTAGAGGTTTCAGGAGCTTATTTCCAAATTGGGCCTTAATTCTCGTGAAGCTTAATTAAAAACTGCAACTTTACATGATTCAAGGGCTGGTGAAAAATACACACACACACAGCTTTGAAATCTTAAGCTACAAAAACGGAATCAGGTAAATATTTAATCCCGCCCGGTACGTGTTATAACTTTAAAAGGCAGGGTGTTTCATTTTAATGTGATTTTCCTAAAATAGGACTATATTAAAAATGACAAAAAGGAAACGATTTTTCACAAATACATTTCCTCATATTCATGGGAATGAAAACACTTAGATAAATACTATAAGCATATAGCACATTAAAATGGAGTATCTACTGAATGGAATCAAATAGGATTTTTGAAACTCTCAAGGAAGTATTTATTTCTACTTAGGGCAAAATGGCATTTGCGGGCTGGGCGAGCAACATTCCGTGTGTGGGGAGATCGTTCTGGTTCTTTGCGTGTTCCTTTATCAGTTCACGAATGTTCTGGAGGCTTCCTTATTTGGAGAATAAGGAGGCCAGGGTTTTAGTTCTGCTTTGTTCACTTTGAGAGTACGTGTATCTTAAGAACATGGTATCATGATTGGGATGGGCAGGGAGAAAGAGAAGCCATTTTTCTTCATAGATAAAAAGCATTCTGTATAATTGTACAATAAATTGATTTTTACACTGAAGTAAAAGTGTGTTATGGTTTTTCTTACTTCATTCCAAGAAGTTACAATGTGTGATTGAATGATATTCCAAGTGACCTATCAGGGATTTTTTTAAAATTCATTTTTAACAGTATAAGATATTTTCATTTTAGATGTTGTGTTAGTCTGGGTAAACTAGGGAAACAAGTCCACGGAAACTCATATATGTATAAGAGAGTTTTATATAAAAGGTAAGTGTACATTAAGAAAGCATCCAAACCCAGTGCTGTCCAAGCCCATAAGTCCAACATTAGCCCGTATGTCCAACGGTGATCTACAAAGTCCTCCTCCATCTCACAAAACACACATAATGATGCCGACTGCAGGAGGAAAGCCAGATCAGTCAGCATGTAAGCATCTCAGTGCTGGCAGGGGTCTCCACACGACTGCTGCAGCACCCAGGGCTGCATTGGGGTAGGTCCATGTGGCTTCTCCTCAGGGATGTCTTGGAGGAAGTGAGCCTTGCCAGCTGAAGCAGGGAAATGGCTAAGGCAGCCACACACTGGTCTGGCCATCAGAGAGCAAGAGACCCGAGAACCTGAGGCGAGGCTCACCAAGCCATTTATCACTCTGCCCTTCAGTTAATCCCACGTGTTTATCGGCCAGGTTGGCACAATAAACCTTAACTCTCAGGTGTTTACTTTTCCATTCATTTCATTCAGCAATGGATTTTTATGTAGCATTATCAATTTTAAATGATATTCCTAGACCAAGCTCAACAATTTCAGAAAACATACACAAAATATTTAAGACCAACTAGGTAAGCAGATAAACAATTTCACCCTATAGAAAACTAGAAGCTAAATTGGAGGGGAAGTATTAGGCAGAAATAATATTGTGCAGGTCTAGCCCTTTACACAGTGCCTGGAAAGCTACGGGGTGGGTGGGGAAGACCTCCACATGCGTGCATAAAATCAAACCCCACTGAGTTGATTCCGACTCAGGACAGCATATGGTTTGCAAGACTGCATCAAGTCTGAGAGACTCTTGTCAAGCTTGTGGGGCAGGATCGCACAGTCGTGTCAGCGTCAACAGGTTTACAAGTGATGTCACAGACGGCAAGGACCGGTTTAAAATCTCCCTGAGTGCAGGGGTAGGGTATAGGAAAGGGGGAACGGAGAGAGAAGGGACGAGGACACAGTAGAGCGTTGGCTTGATGGGGAAATATATTTTCATGATCAGAACGGAGCTGGAGTTTGAGGGGCTGGACATTTTAACTAGGAGCCCTAGTGGTGCAATGGACTAAGCTGCTCACTAAAAAGTGGTTCAAAGCCATCAGCAGCCCTAAAAGGAAAAGGTGGTCTGCTCCCACCCATAATGATACAGTCTCCGAAATCCTAAGGAGCATTTCCACTCTGTCATAGGATGGATGCCCCTTTTAAGTCGGAATTGGTTGGTTTATACATTGAACCAAGGAGCATGGTGGTGCACTAGTTAAAGGGTTGGCTGACCGAAAGGTCGGGGTTTGGACCCATGCATATTCCTGAGGGAAAGCTGAGGCAGGCTGTGTCTGCAAAGAACCCACAGCCTTGGACGCCTCTGAGGCAGTCCGACTCGGTCCTATGGGGTCGAGATGAATTTGGAAGTTAACCCAAGTCTCTTAGTTCCCTTCCCTGAAAGGAGCTCCACTGTGTGTGCATGACAGTGACCCTCCTTCCAAATCGAGTCGCCCTGTTGTATTTCACTCAAGACTTGTTAGGTGCCACTGCGTCCGTTCAAATGGCGATCATTGGCCCTTTAGCTGGCCATTTACTGTTTTCATACTCTGATTTTTTATGCCATGTAGTAGTCCGGCAGGCATAGTTCTGCCTTAGTGAATGAGCATCACTGAAAGCTTTGCCCCATCTTTAATTCATTGTTTGTGTACATAGTGTCCAGTCATGAATTTTTTTAATCTGTACAAGTCAACAATCCATGTATTTTAGTCTAAAAACCTGCCCAATAGACATATACTCTGCTTTTCTCAACATTGTTTTAAATTCTATACCATTGGCTAGATTAACGATACTATCAATAGAATCACCATATGTCCCCAAGGGATTATTGATAGTATTCCCCAGAAAAATTATAACAATGTCTCCAAAATGGACCAGGCTATATAGATGACAGATAGATGTATTATATATGAATGAATATGTAGATAACGTATTTTGAGTTTGCTCTTTATCGTAAACTCTGTTCTAAGAACAATTTGTTTTTATGACATGGCCCTAGAAGATAGGGGTACCAGAGCAAACTGTGGTGAAGAAATCAGATGGTGCCTCGCTATCAGAATATTGTCTGGGGGCTTAAAGGCTTGTCTTAAAACAAGCAGCCATTTAAATAAGGTATCAGTTAAGTCCACCTGGAAGAAGCACACCAGCCTGTGTGACCCAAGGATTGTAAATAATAACGTTCAGCCAACTCGGTTGGCAGAGGCTAAGGAGGAGAGTGAAAGCGCAGAATCCATCTGCAAGTCCTCAGGGACTAAGCCTCTGATAAATCCCATCTGACCGTTGACGAGGGAGGTGAATTACCTTGCTACTGGACAGAGTGCATTGAAAGTAGATTAAAGCTGATGTAGCTAGATTCATACAGATAAAGTGAGGTTAAAATGTGATACCTTATGGTTTGTTCTCCCTTTTGACCTGTTTTAAATTTGTTCTAGTTTTTATTACTTTCTGCTATCTTTAGATTGAGTTTTTCTCCAATGCTATTGTTCTTGGGTTATTTGGGAGTGGGGTGGAATATGATTATCTTTATGTAAAATCCAGGATAGCTAAATCTATAAAGACAGTAATTGGCTTAGGAGTTTCTTAAGGATTGTTGCAGGGGGGATTGGAGGGAATGAGGAGCTAATAACTACAAGAATGAAGAAAATGTTCTAAAATTGATTGTGGTTGTATGCCTACACCAAGAAAAAAATTAATAACCCTCTGAGAAGGTGGGAAAAGGACCTGAACAGACAATTCACAAAGGATGGCACTCGAATGGCTAATAAACACAT